CTCATTTCCCTTTCAAAGGGGATCACTGGCAGCTGAACTGAAAACTGACCACAAGGTTCAGGGATGCTGAGGCCTTTTTACTTCACTGTGAGATGTGCTACCCTTTCTTTTCATTGCTCTGAGGACAGGAACCATGCACTTCTTTGGAAACTCTTTGCTCCAAAAGGAGACTTTTGAGTTTCAAGTTGTCACATTAGTGGTAATAATCAACCCTGTAGCTGCTGTGAAAGGAAGTGGTCGAATGTCAGTCTTGTGTGCTGAAGAGTAAAGTGTCACTGAAATTAGATTTTCCTGACCTCGCTTACGTAGCTTCTCTATGTGATACGGTCTTTCAGCCAGAAGATAAGAGAAGGTCTTTCTACATACAGTCTAAGCATCCCCTGCCATTTTGGTAATGTGTTTTGAAATCAGAGAGTAAATACTTTTTTTTTTTTAATAAAACATAGTCTTGATTAACAATCAGCACCATTTGAATGATCAGCATACTAAGCACCTGGTATATGTTAATTTAACCCTCAAAATAATACTATGTAAGGTAGGTACTGTTGTTACCCCATGTTAAAAAATCATCTCTGGGGCTGAGATGTCTAAGGTGGTGTGGGGAGTTGAACCTGGGCCCCTCGTCCACCAGGATGTACATACAGCCTTTCTAAGTTAGTAAAATGTTGCCAAGAAGCTGCAGCTGGTTATAATTCATTTTCAAAAGTTTCTGTGTATCCATGTAAAGTCAGTACCTCACAGGGTGTGAGGGGTTGTGCTGAGGGCCTTTGAGCAAAGTAGAGTGGGCGCCCCTGCCTGTGAGGTGGCTCCTTCTCAGAGGCAGACAGTGCCATTGTGGAGCTACCCTGGATTCTGGATCCTTTGCTTCACCAGAGCCTCACCTGAGTCCTACCTCTAGAGGACCTCAGCAACATGAGTTCTTAGATAGGACTGAGAAACGGTTGGTGTCTCTGTGCTAAGAGAGGGGGTTCAGTTTTGCCTTTTTCTCTGGTTTTGTAACTAACAAGATTACATTAAATGTCCAACAAACTTCTAAGGCAACAAAGAAAATTTGTTTACAATTTAACCAGAATCTCTTGGAGATTCTTCATAATTGAATTATGTACAATCCCAAATTCTATGCATTTTACTTCTTTCAGAAAACATCCCAGAAAAATGGACCCCAGAAGTCAAGCATTTCTGTCCCAATGTGCCCATCATCCTGGTTGGGAACAAGAAGGATCTTCGGAATGATGAGCACACAAGGCGGGAGCTAGCCAAGATGAAGCAGGCATGGTTTGGGGCAGGGCTGTGTCTTCCTACAACATTCTTAAACTTGGGCCCCAAGAATAGAGTTTGGAAGACCCATCAGAATTCCTCACAGGCCAGGCTGTTGCAGAGAGAGGCTCAGAAATCCCTCTGTTCTTCGTCCCTCATAGGCTGTGGACTGCACAGAGGGTCCCTAAGTCCAGAGATGGAATGCCTTCTGTGAGGTAGTGCTGTGTCCCCAAGGACTGCCAGTCTCAGAAGGGGCCATCCCAGCAATAGTGCTCCAGAGGCAGGAACGTCAGGCCTTTATTCCTCTTCAGTTATTACATTGGTAGAAGTGAGGCTGAAGATAACATAAGTGACAACAGAAGGATCAGGAAATCCTGAGGGTAGGGAGTCCAGCCACAGACAGAGAGCCCTAATGCCTTGATAAAAAGGATGATGGAGGTGTGACATCTTATCCTCTCTGTAGGCCGGACACATGTCTGCCAAACATTTGGTCATAATTTAGACAATGTCTTTTTCCTCCCACTCTGTCCAGAATCTCCTGCACTGATCCCTTTCCAAGTGGTTGACAGTGGTAGCTTGGCACCATCTAGTACTTCTGGTCTCAGGTCATGGGAGCTGAGGTTCCCATGGTCTACTTAGTCCCTTGGACTAACTGTTTCCATGCATCTTTGATTTTCTTCATTGTTCTTTGCTACAGACAAAAGCTTTGAAAACCCCCATCGCTACTCACCAAAGTAGGATGTAAAATGTTATTTTTGTATGTTATGCCAATTGAGCTTGATGTCCCCCATGACCATAGTCCCAAGCCCATAGGGCCAGTGACTCACATCCTCAAGGTGTTTGGCTTTGGCTAAGAAGTTATCATAACTTTGCCCCCGGTAGCTTTTATATTTTATGGACATTGTTATAAACAAATCAAGCTCTCACTGCTGTCAAGTCAATTTCAACTCATAGTGACCCCTCCTTAGGTTTCCGAGGTGCTATCACTACAGAAGTAGATTGCCCAGTCTTCCTTCCAAGGAGTGGGCTGGTGGGTTTGAACCTCCAGCTTTCTGGTTTGCAGTCAATGCCTTAGGCATTCTGCCACTACTCAAAAGTTATGGTAACTTCTTAGCCAGACATTCTTAACAGCACATACGTATGTAGAAGTATTTCTAACTGAATTTTAATTCTCTGTGCCTACTTATTAAATGTTAACTGTTAACTGAAAGTACTCTTTTTTTCTTTGCCAGGAGCCAGTAAAGCCCGAAGAAGGCAGAGATATGGCAAATAGGATTGGTGCTTTTGGGTACATGGAGTGTTCAGCAAAGACCAAAGATGGAGTGAGGGAGGTTTTTGAAATGGCCACGAGAGCGGCTCTGCAAGCCAGACGTGGGAAGAAAAAATCTGGGTGCCTTGTCTTGTGAAACCTCGCTGCAAGCACAACCCTCATGCGGTTAATTTTGAAGTGCTGTTTATTAATCTTAGTGTATGATTACTGGCCTTTTTCATTTATCTATAATTTACCTAAGATTACAAATCAGAAGTCATCTTGCTACCAGTATTTAGAAGCCAACCATGATTATTAATGATGTCCAACCCCTCTGGCCCACCAGGGTCCCTCTGACACTGCTCTAACAGCCCTCCTCTGCATTCCCACCTGACACACCAGGCGCTAATTCAAGGGATTTCTTAACTTCTTGCTTCTTTCTAGAAAGAGAAAAAGTTGGTAACTTTTGTGAATTAGGCTGTAACTACTTTATAACTAACATGTCCTGCCTATAATCTATCAGCTGCAAGATATTCTGGTGAGTCACCACTTCAGAACTTTGCTCCTAAATGGGTTTCATTGCCATTGTTCTGAAGTGGGCATCCAGTTTTTTGAAAATGTGCTCTGCCACAAAGGCCCAAGTCCTTGCAGCTATGATAAAGTTACAGTTCTGTGGTTTCATGTTAGTTACCTTATAGTTACTGTGTAATTAGTGCCACTTAATGTATGTTACCAAAAATAAATATATCTACCCCAGACTAGATGTAGTATTTTTTGTATAATTGGATTTCCTAATACTGATATTTGTCATCTCGGCAGAAAGTGTATTGGTTTTTTTTAAAAAAAGAAAGTGTATTTGAAAATAAAGTCAGATGGAAAATTCCTTTTAAAAATTCCCGTTTTGTCAGTTTCTCTGATAAAAGATGGCCATTTGACCCCTTTTCAGCCCCATTTATGCCATTACTCTCTCCCATGAGCTGGGCTAAGCATATAGGAATTTGGTTTCATGCCTGAGACTATTAGATACTTTGGAAGGTGGCTTTACCTATCTCACTTGGACTGCTGGATCTGGCTCTAGTTCACAGGTCTCCTTTCTCCTCACTGTATCCAGCTTCCCTCCCAGAGGAGACACTAGTCCTCTTGGGTGGCACTTGGTTTCTTCTCTCCAGCTGACTAAACTTTTTTTCTGTACCAGTTAATTTTTCCAACTACTAATAGAATAAAGGCAGTTTTCTAAACTTCCTGTATCCTGGTGTTTGTGTTGCTGTTGCCAAGGCTGGGAGCAGGAGAATGAATCAGCCAGCCTGGCCTAGCTCACACTGGAGAGGTTTGCTGAAGGCAGCAAAGTGCCAGTGCCTCCCTTTTCTCACTGATCACTACCCTAGCTTTTCCTAAAATGTGGAAATACTTAATGCTATGCCACATTAAAATTAACAGCGTGGGTGGGAACACAGCTTACTGAGGAGATGAGGGACACTTCAGACAGTCGTTCTTAGGAACAATCTCAGAAGTGTAACCTCTTCCTCTATTCCCCTTCCATTTTCAGTGTCTTTCACTGAAAATGCCTGAGTTCCAGATAAGGTAGACTAAAGATGGAGGATGGCTTGAAATTGAATGGGTTCGCTCCCCCGACTGGCTGCTGAGCCCCCATTTCCTTGGGCTGGAGCAGAGCCTGGGTGGTACCTGCAGCCTAGGACTCTCCTGAAAACAAAACTGGACACAGACCTGCGTAAGAGTGGGTGCTAAACTGGGGCAGAAAGGGAGGAGGGAGGCCGGAAGTGAAGGCTGCCCTGGCAGCCCCAAAGCACAGAGAAGTGAGTTTCAAGGGTGGATTTGTGTTGACGCCGGGATTGCCAGTGCCTGTAGCCCCCTCTGTCCCGGGCATTGCCCATGCTTCCCCCAATGCCCTTAGAACTGCAGTGTTGGCACGGAGAGAACTTGCCTCGGCCAAGCATACCATTCATTACGGCACGGCACAACTCGCTCTATGCATCTGGTGACATTAGGGCACATGCTGCAAGGACCATGATAGAGAAACGGGGAAGGAGGCACAAGCGGAACCCGCTGCTGCTTACCACCGTTGGCCAGTCTCCCAAGACCGGCCCCACGGCCTGAGAAACTTTTGAGGAAGGATCCATAGTCTTCGAGAGCCCGGGAAGAGGCTGCCCAGAACACCCTTAGGCAAAAACGTTCGGCTGTGAGCTTCTGAGACGGACTAGACAAGTCTGCCGCTCCGCCCGGCCTGGGCGGTGTCCGCGTCCGGCGGGGCCCCGGGCACCCGCCTCCCAGGTCCCCACCGAGGGAGGAGCAGAGGTCTACGGGGAAGGGCTGGAGCCGGATAAGGCGGGACCCTCGGGCCCCGAAGGGGCGGGGCGGCCGGAAAAGTGGCTGCGCCACGTGACCCCACCATGAGCTGGTTAAAAAGAGGCGCCTCCCAGCTCTACCCGTCCCTGTGGTTCCCGAGCTGTAGTCGCTCTACTCCGGTTCCCGCGTTATGTGTGCCGCTCCACTCACGGCGGCAGCCGCCCGTGCGGCGGCAGCCCCTCGCTCAGTGTATGCCTTCTCTGCGCGCCCGCTGGCAGGCGGGGACCCTGTAAGCCTGGGGTCGCTGCGGGGCAAGGTGCTGCTCATCGAGAACGTGGCGTCGCTCTGAGGCACCACGGTCCGGGACTACACTCAGATGAACGATCTGCAGCGGCGCCTCGGTCCTCGGGGCCTGGTCGTGCTCGGCTTCCCGTGCAACCAGTTTGGGCATCAGGTGCTCTGGGCAGGGCGGAGTTGGGCGTGCAGCCAGGGTTGGGGGCGCTTACAGGGCGGCCGCTGAGCCTGGGATCCGCAGGTCCTGGGCGCGGAGAGGAGGGTTAGCGGCTCACTTCCCTCCGGGCCCTCATTTTTGGCTGGAATTCAAGCCCGCCCTGGAGTTGTGCAAGGAGGGCAACGGCTCGGTGACTCATAGAAAAAACCCTTCTTTGCGGTCAATAGGTTTCTCCCTTCCTTCGCGCCCGGGTGTCAACCACTCTTTTCTCTCTTAGGAAAACGCCAAAAACGAAGAAATCCTGAATTGCCTCAAGTACGTGCGACCAGGCGGTGGGTTCGAGCCTAACTTCACACTTTTCGAGAAGTGCGAGGTGAATGGCGCGCAGGCGCACCCTCTCTTTGCCTTCCTGCGGGAGGCCCTGCCTGCGCCCAGCGACGATGCCGTTGCACTTATGACTGATCCCAAGCTTGTCATCTGGTCTCCAGTGTGCCGCAATGACATCTCCTGGAACTTTGAGAAGTTTCTGGTGGACCGCGACGGTGTGCCTGTGCGCAGGTACAGCCGCCGCTTCCCAACCATCGACATGGAGGCTGACATCGAGGCCCTGCTGTCCAAGGAGCCCACCTGTGCCTAGGGTGACACCCCCACCCCCAACCCAGGCTGCTTGGCAATCACGCTATGTTACCTTCTGTGGGGATTTCATCAATGAGGGTATTTCTTCTAAACCTGAATGGAGGAATGCCTGATATCTGCGAAAGACCCCCAGATGGGTGCTGGTCCTGTCCATCCTAGCCTCCCCTCCCAGACCAAGACAAATCTCCCAACTAATAAAGTGCTTGATTAAGGAAAACTTAAGTATTGGCCTGGAATACCTTTCCTGCTAATCTTAAGCCTTCTCTTCTCCTCCATGGCCAGTGTCCTGGCCAAGCTTGTACTTCCTTTTGTCTGCCGTGTATGGAATCTACTTTTTCTTTTGTAGGAAGCCAGACTTCTATCCCTGCATTGCTCCTTCTGCCAGGGCATCCAATAGGGCTATGCCAAGGCCGTATTCTAACAGTCCTTATTCAGAAAAAAAGAGACAAGGTACAGGCTGACTGTACAACCAGTAGTAGTAGGCTTCTCTTTTTCTGGGAATTTTTGGACACTGAAATTACCTTCACAAAAATAACATGACAGTCCCCCAGACACATTCAGTGTGTGGCCTCTCCAAGTGTTGTTGGGCCCACATTAGCTCATTTAACACAGGTGCAATGTTATAAATTCTTTTCTCATTACTCTCCTAGATCTTTCCACAGTGCTATACACTGTTCTTACTGGCTGCCTGTCATGTATTCAGACAGCACATTTTAACTGGCCCTTCTGAAGTGTCCTGACCGACACATAGCAGGTACAATTGCACAGTCACACACAGGATAGCATAGCTCCTATCTCTACCAGGCATAGCTTTAGTCCAAGCTGCTTATCTGTTGGGACTGCAGCCAATCTGTTGAGACAGACCTGGAGTTTCTTGCTATCATTGTGCAGGGTAAGCCGTAGGGCCTGTGTGCAGCTTCTGTTTGGGCAGATGGACCCAAAGCGATTTTGTCAGAATCACTCAGCAAGTCTCCAATATGGGCCAGGAGTTCTGGTGTCACAGTGTTGGTGCCTAAATTGTGGCTCAAGTCTCTTCTATGTCTGACCTGCTTGCTCAAGAATGGTCTATTGGCTTCCTTGAAAAAGAAATGTCAAGTTACATATCTACACCCATTAAATAAATTGAATGTGTAGTTTAAAAAAAAGAAAATTGCACATTACAAAAGCACCACACCAACCAAGTATTTACCCAAAAAGGTGAGTTTTACCAAATGTTCAAAATTTGCTTACTGTCTTGGAAAACTTTTTCAGATATGACAAAAATGAGAGAGTTCCTTCCTCATTTTACAAGATAAAAGACAATGTAAGAAAGGAAGTAAGTTGGTCATTCTCACTTTCGAACACATTAAAAAATCAGCTAACTGAATTCAGCAATGAATTACAAACATCACAACAGATAAGTAGTAAAGCAAGCATAATAAAATAATTTCAAAATTTCGGTGGTGGGTATATGAGTGTCACTGTCAGCTTTTCTGTATGTTTGAAATTGTTCATATTAAAACCTTGGGAAAAAGTAAGCAAGTATTTGTACATCTGCAACCTCTAAAATAAATTATGACAAAAAAAAAAAATGGTCATTGGGCCCTAAGCAGACCTCTTTCTGATGCTATTCTCACCTTCTATCTGTCTTCAAGTTACTGGAAGATAAAGGACCCTCTGCACCTGCTCTGGTTCATCTCCCTCCCACCTCAGCAGAGCACCTGCATAGGCCCACTTGGCCATAAGCATCTCTACCTTCTCAGCTTTTGAGAACTCTTTGAGGTGCCCCAGGCAGAACTGTCTGCTTCCCCTGTGCTCCCCAGAACTCCCACTCCCAGTAGTCTTGATTGCATTTATGCATGACTGGTCTGCCTTTTGAAAGGGTGGAAGCCTAGGAGATGGACTGGGGCTGGCCATCTCAAGGCCCGCAGTACCCAGTATATGTGCATCAGCAAACATTTGTCAATTGCTGTAATGAAGAAAACTTACCACTCAAACAGGGCTGGGGATTTTTGAGGATCATGCTGTACTCTTTTTTTTAGATTCCAGATCTGACTCCTGGAATGAATAACCTGCACATATAACCTGTATATGTGGGTACACTCAGGTCATCTGTAACCCCACCCCCTAACCCCTTAACACTATATCCCTCTCTTCCTCAAAAGCCTTTTACTTCCCTACTGCAACATTCATTGGGTCCCTCTGTGCCAGGTGCTCTGCTGGGTGCCAGTGATAACATCCTCAGGAAAGCAGAAGGGAGATAAATACTAAAAGTGTATGTGTTCTAATAGATAGTGCAGGATACTTTGAGAATCAGTAAAAATAAAGGGCCTAGCCCAATTGGGAGGATCATGTTTGCCTTCTCTGGAGGAAGTGACAGTGAAGCTGCATAAAAATCAAGCAGCAGCTAAGAAACTAGCTGAAGAAGGGGTATCCAAATAGCTAGTACAATAAGTGAGGACATGAGGTGGGAAGGTGGCATCAATGACTGAGATTAGCAACACAACGAGGAGCAAGTTTTAGGGGGGAGGGGATGTGTTCAGATTTGGATGTGTTGCATAAGACATCCAGATAGAGATATCTGGGGTAGGTGGACTATGAGTTGGAGGTAAAGGCCCAGCCAAGGGTACAGTAGCCACCGGAGAGGATAGATCACCTAGAGAGAACGGCAAGGAAAAGGTCAAGGGGCCTAGGCCTGATGCCTGTAGATTTCACACTCTAGGTCAGGTGGTAAAGAGGTCAGCTTGGGAGGGACAAGGACAAGAGTCAAAGAGCTGAGAGATGGGACATTTCATAAAGGAGAATGGCCAGCTGTGACAAGTGTCAGTCGATTGAGTGTCCCTCAGCAAGTGCAGTTTCATGGGGGGCAGCTGGAGTTGAAGTCACATAGCCAATTGCTCGCTTGGGGCATTCTGTCTTGTGAAAACATGTTCCACAGCCCACCTTCAGAGAGGCTGATTTGGAAAGCCTAGGGACCTAAGGTCCTGTTCAATGACTTACCAACTGGACCTATGAGGAGATTTCATGTTCCCCACTCTTCCCTTTCTCCCCTGAGTCAGTGTGGCCTAGGCCACAATCTCTAGTTAGGTTTCAGAATGGGAACCCAGGCCTTTCCAAATTGACTCCATGCTGCCTGATGACTCAACTTTCCTTCCCCAGTTCTTTTTCTCTCAGCCATACCTCCAATGTGGCTGCTCCTAGCTAAGTTAACATCCCTCCTCAGACTCTAAGCTACCTGCTTCCCTTCACTGAAAGTCCTTTCAGCCCTCTCTTTTTTCAGGAAGACTCAGAATAAAGCCAGTTAAAACTTCAATAGCTTCCTTTACAAGAAACAACATCTTTTCCCAACAACCACAGCACTATCAAGCATGCACATGAACACACGCGTTCTTTATCATTCAACCGTGTAACTGCTACTGGCCCTGACCTGCACTCAACCCACCCTGTTGTGAATCAGCAGCTCAAATTAATAAGTAAACGAGTAAGAATCATAGTGAGCCTGCACGAGGTCCTGGCCTTTGGTAGCTGTGCCTACAGGATGTTGCTTGCTCTGGGAACAGGCAGCAGCATTTGGGCCACAGACCTTCTGAGAAGATGAGCCTTCCTCTTTTTGTTTTTAACATTGTATCTTATTAAATTTAGGGCAGGCATTTCTTGCACAATTAGCCCTTGTTCAGATGACTTCCTTATATCATCTCAATGTAGTGCCACAAATGATAACGAAGCATGCTTATTTTCAGAGAAGCATTCTTTCCTCAAGAAGCTTAATAAATCTCTTAAGTTTTCTCTTTCGGGAAATAGTGAATGTAAAGCTGAGTTACCAAGACACCAAGACACGGAGCTGTTTTAGAGCAGCAGTTTATTGGCGCTCCCGGGCGAGGTTCTCATGCCCTAACAGCAGGGCTAGAGAAGTCACACCCCCGGGCAGGAGGCATGGATTTTTATAGACACAGAGAGGACCTGTTTGGGGACAGCAGGGGAGTGACAGGGTCCTTTAAGGAAATGGCAGGGTTCAATGAGCTGTTAGCAGGGGTCTGCACTTAGTTAGCATGAGGGTGCTTCAGAAGAGGAAGTCTCACTGCATGGGACTTTACAGTCTGGGCGGGTTCTGCTACTGCGGTTGTCTTATCAGGTTGTCTCATCAGGGCCTGACATCTAGAGGAAGCTGCCAACTGACATTTTGGGGCCTGGGTTTTGCTTCAGCCTAACAGTGAATACAAAATACTGCCCAAAAATCTCCCCGAGAGAACACAACATGGATTTATAAATAACAGGCCATGATCCCTCAGATGACTCTGAATTTGGCAGGTTTTCGTTATTACATTCATCAACTGCACTTCATGCTTTCACACGAGCTGTCATGTACCTGAACTGCCCACTAAATTAACCACCAGCTCCAGCTGTTCACTGAACACCTGTCTTATTTCAGGCGCTGCCAGATTGGGAGCTGGGGAGCAGTTACATAAAAGAATCAAAAATGGCCTCTGTGTATTGGCTACAAGTTATTTACTTCCTCATAGCAAACTGAAGCCTGTTAGCCACCCCCCCAAAGCCCACCCACAACAAACAGACATTTGTACCTACTCAATTAGTTCAAAATAGCCCAAATAAACAGAATTTAACCACTCAGAACTTAACTGCTCTACCTACCCCATGAAACTGCACCCATTATCTGCTAGCCCTAGATAAGATAAAACCCTGCAGTTTTAAGGACCTCCAGCAACATCTGACCTTTGGCGTTCTCTGACCCAGAGATTCTCATTCTGACCCAGAGACATCATTCCTCTTCCTGGGGTTTTTTGTGCCTCTTTCCTTTCTGATGGCTCCCACCTGAGGACCTTGAAGAGAATAAAGGCAAAGGGGACCACAGAGAAGCACAATCCTCTGTCCTCCTGTAGCCTGAACATCCTTCACCTCTGACTTCTCCAAGACCTCAACTCCAGACTTGTCATGTGATAAAAGAAAAAGAAAAACCACCAACTTGGTAGGACACTTGGTTCTGGGCACTGTGTTACTTGTATT